GGTCTTATACATGGTGATCCTCCTCCTTTTTCACTCTATGCTAACAGTGGATATTCTTAGTAGAATTATTTCTCAAGGTCGATGACAATATTCTTGAAAGTTCTGCGATTGGAAAGGATAAAGATCATCTCATTTTTAGTTCACTGATGAAACCATCTTTTTCTACTAATTGAAGGAAAGGTTGTTCCTCAATTTGAATCACATTAGAGCAATCATCAAGACATAGGCTTAAAATTAACAAAGACAAGTGTTAGATTTTGGTTTGAATGGTGACCCGCAGAAGGTGGATGGATGGGCTGCTCTTGCGGGGAGCAAGGTTGGCTCATTCCCTTCGTTCTATTTGTGGCCTTCATCTTGGCCAAAACCCAAGAAGTTTCTCTTTTTGGATCCAGTAGTGGATAAGGTTCATAGAGAGTAGCCTCGTGGGAGAAAAGCTACTTTCAGAAAGAGGTAGGATGACTTTTGTTTGTTCATTCTTAAGTTGTATCTCAGTATACATTTTTCCATGTTTAGATTCCCTAGTACTGTTAGTAAAACTTATGAAAAGTTTACAAAGGATTTTGGGGTGGAGAAGATCGAAGGGGGGAAGGGACTTGTCTTATGCAATGAAAGGTGGTCACAAAGCCAATGGACTTAGGGGGATAGAATTAGGGAATGTAAGGGCATGAACCGAGACCTTGTTGGCTAAATAATTGCAGTGCTTCCCCTTGAATCTAAGACCTTATGGTACAGAATTATCACAAGCAAATATAGTCCTCGCCCTTTTGGGCGAATGTCCATAGGGCTAAATGCACTTCCAAAAATCCTTGATGAGCTCCCCTTCTTTTCTCAATTTGTTATGTTTTTTGTGAGTGATGGGAGGGATACTTATTTTTGGTAGGATAAGTGGTTGGAGGATAGACCTCTTTACCCTATGTATGAGAAATTGGGTGGCAGATGGGCCCTCTCATTTTGATTAGGGTTTTGTCATCTATCTTCTGATAAGAAACCAAGACATTATGGCTCTTTTATACTTGATTGAGGAGTCGGAGATTACTTGAGGGCGAAGGGATATTCATCTTCAGAGTCCAAATCTCTTATAATTCCCTCTTTTGGCGTATGGTGAACCACTCTCCCTCAAATGTGTCTTTCTTTACTTTATAGTGGAAGGTGAAATTTCCCAAGAAGGTTACGTTTTTCACGTAACAGGCCATTCACGAAAAAATTTCAACATCTTGGATCGATTAGTGAGAAAGTTGCCCAATTTAGTAGGCTCACTTGGATGCATTCTTTGTTGGAAGGAAACAAAGAACTTATCATAATTTTAGAGTTATGACTTTGTTGGAGCGGTTTGGAGATGTTTGTTTCAAGCATTCAACTTTCGGTTTGCTAGACATGTGGATTGCAAAGAGATGGTCAAGGAGCTCCTTCTCCATCCGCCCTTAAGGGAAGCGGGGCCTATAAGGAGAGATGAATAATAGGACTTTAGAGGTGTTGTTAGGGACTCGAGTGATGTTGTAATCAACCTTTTAAGTCTATTTTACTTGACTGGAGCCTATTTATTTAGTTTTGCTCCCTTTTAGTGGGCTTGGTTTCTTGTACACCTTTGTATACTTTCATTTGTTCTAAATGAAAGTTCGATTATTCATTAAAAAAATGATCTTGCATACACTAAGAACCAAACTGATTGCTGAAAAAAATTCCTTACTTCTTTTTTAACCATAGCTAATGAAGTCTCTTTATGGGGGAATTCAAAATACCATTCACCGGGAAATCCTTTAACATCTCCATGACCTCATCCTTGAGAAAGAACCAAAATTTTGTGAAAAATGTCGTCTTTCAAGTCAAAACCATCTTGACCCGTGCTTTTGTATAAACTCTTCAAAGCTAATAAAACATCACCTCCTTCAAAGGGTGTTTCGAGCCAAATACTTCCAATCTAGAAGATTGGCTGCCAACACACCACTTCCCAAATAAATCCGCGAGATTACTAGAAAAAGCCATAAGTTCATACTAACCTATGAAAACTTGCTGAATTGTCATCTCACTAAATCAAACCAACCTTTTTTTCTCTTTTTTGTAGAAATCTTACTCCCTCTTTGTGACTTAACTCCACAAATTCCTGTTTGAGAATAATTTCTTCTCCTTGTCCTCAACCAAAAACCTAACCAAGAAGTATTCACCAAATGGATGAACCCTAGACTCCTTGAAACTCAGTAACCAATCATTGAGACTCTTTTTACAATCTATTATTACAGTTACATCATGACTTCGTAACTTGTTGGCCTTTGCCTAGATTTCGGGTTTTACTGCTTTTTATTCAATCCATCTATAAAGTACTTTCCAGTAAAAAATCTCCACCAACTTCAAGTATTGAAGATACCAAACTAAGCATGAAAAATAAAATCCATCCTTCAGAGGGCAATACACACTAATCTTCAAAATACCTAAAACCTTGCTTCTCGGAATCATAAGAATCCTAAGAGCTCCATCTTTTACAGCCTCAAAAGCAGACTAAATACCTCCCCTACATAGCATCACAAGAAAAATTATAACAATAAGCCTAATCCTCATTCCAAGAATACTGTCATAGTACAAAATCTTGTGGTTGGTGCTTGCTTCCTCGAAAGCAATGCACATCTTCTAAATTTTGCAAATAGAAAAGCTTTAGCATCAAAAGATTTCTATAGTATGCTTCTAACTATCCATGCAAACCTTTTGAATTTCTTTGGGATTTGGTTTGCTGTATAATCGGGCGTAAGAAGTAGCGATTACTTGATAAGAAAAACACTTTGACAGCGCCAATATTCCACAACCTCCATCAAGACAATAGGGAAAAAGGAAACTAGACGAGATTTCTTATAGCTGAAATGAGAATAATAGAATCTAAGAACAAAAAGGTCATTGTTGTATGCCACATAAAATAGAAAATGATGGTACAACAACTTGATAAAAATTGCAGAATATGGATGTTAAGGCACAGAATGGTTTCTTAAGAAACTGGCACTAATTTCATTGCTCCCTTTCAGAGATAATCACTTCACGGTTTGGGAACAAAATATCCATCGTTGTAAGGAAGCCTTTTATTTATGATATGCCTTCTTGTAAAGGAGTGTTCGTTTACATAAGCACGAGATTACTCATCTACCCTATCAGAGTATCCCATCCTTTGAAGATTCGTCTCATATTGAGACGTTCATTTCCGTAGGCACAAGATTACTCGTCTACCCTATCGGAGTATCCCATCCTTGGAAGATTCATCTCATATTGAGAAAAGAGACCCATTATGGAGACTTGTGAGTAGAATTCTTCAAACTTAACTGATTACAAAAACTCACAGCGAAGCTAAATTGTCCCAAGAAATGAAATGCAAGGATGTCGATCATACCTTCCAGAGAACACACTACGGTTTCCAGCAACCTACCCATCAGCTATATACACAGACCAAGAACTTGCCAATCCATACAACATTAGGCTAACTGACCAATTAAAGAATAACTAGGCCCAAGACTTCCTATTCGCCCAAGAAACCACAAGACATAACCATAAAAAACAAATGCCAGCCCGTCACTAACCAACCGAAATAACCCCACCCCAACAAAAGGAAGAGAAAATACGCATTCAACAGCTAAATAAGGTCCAGAATTATAACATAAATAGCAGCGAATCAATATAATACGACTATTTTACAAATAAACTGACCAATTGCGACCAAGCACTTCCTCCGCCCGATAGCCAGAAACCATTTCGAAGACGGTGTTGACATAGATGATGGGATGGTCGGGTTCAAGAGAATCGGTGACGACGAACCCACATGGCGCAGTTTGGAACAAGTTCTCCACAGGAAAAGGAAGAGGCCCACCATCGTTGAGTAAGAAGCCCTCGTCCTCCTCGTCTCCGCTCAGATCCGAATTGCTGTCCCACTCCATTTTCCTCGCTTCCAAAACCCAAATATTCTCTTCAACCCATTTACAGATATCCAATTAGGAAGAAAACCCAGAAAAGAATCCGGCGATCGGAGGCCAAAAAATAGGGTTTTAGCACAAAAACGAACAATTAAGACGGTGGCAACACTCGACAACCGAAATTGAAGAAGGTTGGGACGGTTCACACAGGAAAAGATAACGAGTGGTTGAAAGGGTTCGGCAATTTAGCTAAAAGTTTAGCTCTTCGATAGAAAGAGATAGAGAGAGAGAGAGAGAAAGAAAGAGATTTTTGGTTTGACGGGGTTAATAAAAACTTGGTTTGGTTTCGTGTTCGCTCTTCACCGCCCTCTGATGAAGAGAAGTCAGGGATGGAGAGGCTACTACTGGGTGGTTGAGGCTTCTGGAAAGGAATAGCCTTTTTGCCGCTTTTACGAAATGAGGATTTTACTGTGGCTAAGGCTGGTGGATCGAGGCTTGGCTTGGTTCGATCGGGCTTACATGGAGCTTTAGGTCTACGCTAAGTCTTGTTCAGGAAAAAGGGTATCTCATTTCCTCCGCTGTTTTTAACTTCTACCGTTCCTTTCTTCCTTTCATTTCCCCACACTGCCAGTTCTCTCACATGTGGGGTAATTGATAGAAATGGTTCAAACATCGCATCTCCTTACTATTTCTGGTGTTTCTTTGTGTGAATATACCTGCTTGCCCTCTTTTCAAATATTTTATTTACACTAACCAAACCCATTCCTAAACTAACATGAACGTAATTTGACGATGAATGTATTAATGCAAAGTCCAAGTTCATTATAACCTCGTATGAGGCAACTTAAAGTCTCGACTTCTTCGTTATACATAACTTTCTCCGTCTCTTACTTTGGCACGTGAGCCTTTTGTCTCCCTTTTTGCAAGTTACCTCTCTTCTAAACTACAAATTCTCGATCGAAGCACATGACGGTGCTGTAAGTTTTCTCTTGCTAAATTTAGACATCGACAAATATGATAAAGTTATAAAATATTATCTAGATTTTGCATTATTATTGAATTAGAAGGTAAATTTTAAGAACCGCACTGCAAAAGTGAGATTTTGACCATTACCAATTCGTAAAAGGGAATTTGCTTTATACTATTAAGGCAATATAAGATGATGACAATAAATAGCCATGTGTACATAAATGGTTTTTTGGAGTTGAAGCCTCTAAGTGCAATATCCTTACTTACACAACATGTAAAAGGGATAAAAAGAATACAAAAATAGACATCTTCAACGAGGTTGTGAAACTGAAAGGACAAGTTGGGCTTCATCAATGTCTACAGCCCAACTCCAAGGCCCATTTCAAGTGACAAACCCTCCCATTTATGAATGAGTTGCTAAGGTGTTTGATGTTTTGTACGATTATTAAATATCTACAAGTACTTCTCTATAATGAACAAAGAAATAAACAAGCAGGAATACCTCCTAGAGAGATCAAGAACTCATCATCTCCCTTACATGGGAAGCAAGTCTTTGCGTGGAATGATAATTGAACGAATCGTCGATGTTCTTGATCCCGAACACGAAATCCATAGCTTCTTGATATTTTCTTGCTTTACAATAACCGTCCACGACGACCTTGTACGTAACTTCATTGGGTTTGCAGTTGTTCTGAATCATGTAGCTAATGACTTCATCTACCTCTGCAAACATTCCACGTCCCGCATACCCCGACACGAAAGTGTTGTACGTAAATATGCAAGGATGAATCCCTCGAGCTGTCATCTCGGACATAGTTCTTATTGCTTCTTGCATGAGTCCTTGTCTGCAGAAGCCTTTAATTACGGTGTTGTATGAAATGAGATCGGGTTTTAAGCCAGATTTTACAAGTCCCTTGAGGATTTCTTCTGCTTTCCAGCATTCTCCTCTTCTGGCATACATATTCATTAAGCTATTGTAGGTGACGAGATCCGGTTGCAGTCCACCTTCACGAATCAAGTGCAACGTCTCGTGGGCTCGTTCGTACATGTTGTTTTTAGCAAAAATTGATAGCATCGAGTTGAATATAACCATGTCGGGCTTGTATCCATTCTTCATCAGCTCCTCAAATGCCCTTTCCATTCCTGCAACTGCTCTGCACTTGATGTTTGAAAGAACGAGTGTTCTTAAAAGAACCCAGCTGGGGAAGATCTGACCATCATAGATATCTTTCTCAATCCTCTTTAATCCTTTCACATTCCCCCCTTTTGCATAGCAATGGAGCATCAATGAGTATGAGGTTTCATTAGGTTTGAATCCCTTGTTCTTCATATCCAGGAACACAGATTCGGCTGCTTTCCAATCCCCTCGTCGAGCCAAAGCGTTCAGAAGCGCGTTATAAGTCATAATACATGGTGTAAATCCAGCTTTAATCATCTCATCGTACATCTCTGCCACATCGATCTTCGACCCACAACGGCTATACGTGCTAATCAAAGTGTTAAACGTGTCTCTGCCGGGTTCAAAACCACAGTTTTTCATCTCCCTAAGAACACGGTTCACAAACTTGTGATTCCCCTTATCACCACACATGGCAAGCATCGTGTTCCATGTTATTCGGTTTGGTGAACATCCATTCGTTCTCATATCAACGAGTATCTTTATCATTTCCTCCGACTGCAACTTCTTTCCCAGAAGTGCAAGAATAGAATTATACGTGCAAACATTAGGAACACATCCTGATTTCTTCATCTGGTTAAACAGTTCTAATGCCTTCACCTCCTTTCCTGCGCTACCATAGGCATTTATGAGAGTTGTATAAGTCACAGCATCTGGCGTCACACCTTTGCGAGTCATTGTGTCGATTACATCAGCTCCTTCCTCGTAGAATCCAGCCCGAACATAAGCTGCTACGAGCTCATTGTAGGTAATAGAGTCCGGGGTGCAATTATTATCCTCCATTTCTTTCAAGATGTTTAAAGCCTCTGAATACATCCCAGCTTTTCCAAAGACTTGAAGTAAAGCATTGTAGGTGACAGTTCCTGGCTCATAGCCACTTGATTTCAACCCAAACAAGAAATCTTTTGCTTCATTTATCAAACCCTCTCTTCCACAAGCAGATATCACAGTGCTACAGGTGAACTCATCAAATTGCAAACCTACACTCCTCATTTCATCCAACAAACCTAAAATTTTATCCCAAGAACGACCCATTTTCCCATAAACATCAAGCATCACATTGTATGTAACCAAACTTGGAGAAAGGCCACTGTCCTTCATTCTATCAAACATGGCAATGGCTTGCTTATATTCGCCATTTCGAGAATAGGCGTGAAGAATGGTGGTGCAAGAGCGAACATCAAGCGAGTATTTGTCAATGGGCATTTCGTCGAACAGCTTGAGTGCAGTTGAATATTTCGATTCTCTTCCAAGAATCTTTATCATAAGTTCAACAGCTTTATTATCTAGTTTCAAATTTCCAGAAACAGAGTTCGACACAAACCATTCAAACAACAAAATAGCCCTCTCGCTATGCCCCGAAAGGTCTAGCGCTTTCAAGAGACTGACCAAATCAATTTCAAGCAACTCAAACTTGACAGAATCAAAATAAGCATTCAAGCTGTCAAAAGGCTGTTCAGCGATTGAATTAAGCAAGCACATACCCTTTTTGGAGAGAAATTGAAGAGGCCCATCTCGAATCTTCTCGTCATTGTACACAATTTCCGGAGCTGAATTCAAGAGGGGTTTCTTCAACTGAGGCCCTTTGCTCCGTTTCTTAGTTGAATCCACTGAAATTTGAAGAGAAGGCAAATGGGCAACATTCTTTTGCCCAACCTTTACATGTTTGAGCTTGTGGAGAGTGTCATTAGGAGGCAGAGACAATTGAAGAAGATGCTGAAGAAGGGTATCGACCGGAAATGAGGAAGAGGGCGGCGATGGAGGAGGAGGAGGAGGAGGAGGAAGATTCGTTGAATTAAACTTCAAAGATTGATTTGGTGGAATGGGTCTGTTCACTGGAAGTGGGCATCTGTTGGGGAAGAGAGCGCCTTCCATTCTCGCACTAAATATGGAACTCGAGCTTCGAGGTTAAATAAAAATGGCGGAATTGAGCTCGATTGTTGACGGAGGAGACGGATAAGGAAACTAATTCCACGGAGTGAAAGACTTAGCCGATGCATTGAGCTTAAGTTCACAGAATGTGTGAGGGAGAAGAGGGGCCATTATGACTATATTGCTCTCTAATTTTGAACCACACTATAGCCGTACTAGCCTAATGTCAGCTCTTAAGCTCACCGCTAGTAAATATTATATTATTCGAACTTTTTCTTTTCGGCTTCCTCTTTAAAACGGGTTTACTAGACATAGATTTTTACACTCTTATAAAATAATGTTTACTCTCCTCACCGACCAATTTGAGATCTCACATGCTAGATATGTATGCATGTGATTGTTTTGTGTATGAATATACAAATTGAATGGATGTTATGCATATCTTTCTGAAATGTTGTGGTGTATGCACATGAATCTTAGTAATTATCTATTGGTGTGCGTGAGAATTACTTTGGATTATATCGTAGTGTTGGGGTAAATTAATAACTATCTATGTACATGATAACCGTACCTCCTCCATGAGTCCCGTGACAGTTGTCTATCTTTATTTGAGAATAATTATTAATATTGATTGCTAATTAAACTTTAAAAAAACACCTAAAAACATATTATTTATAATATATTAAATTAAAATTGTTTTAATAAATTGAATTAATCAAAATAAATTAACTTCTAACAATTAATTATATAAGCAGTAAATCCAATTAGAAATAATTATAATTAAAAGAACTAACGAATAATATTTATTTATATAAATTTTTGATAACATTCTATCTCTTATTTCATTTTATTTTAAATAAATTTAATTAATTATAGATCTTCTAACCAAAAAGACTTTTTTTCATATATGACAATAGTATGAGTATCACTCTATTAATTAAATGTCACATCAAAATCTTTAAAAAAATATATAACACGGATCTTGCCACATTAAATAAATTTTTAAATAAAAAGAAAGAATTCTAATATGAACCCATGGAAAATGTTGTATTATAAAAATTTCATGACGTTGATCACACACAAGAGGTCCCGAGAGACCTTGTCTCCACGAAAAGATACTGCCACAACTAAATTCCAAACAAATCTAAGTATTCAATTTAACTGATTTTGTTGATATTGCTTAAGCGGTAAGATTGGAATGAGACAAAAATATAACAAAATCTTGGATTAAAAAAAAAAATTGTAATCCATAGACAAAATTATTATAGAGAACCGTTATTTTGGTCGGATATTATTTTGAAATATTATATTTTCATTTTATATTTATTTCAATATTTTGGATATATTTTTTATAAGGTTTGAATTTAATTTCTATATGATCTATTTGTGGGGTTTTATTGGGTTTTATGTCCTAAAACTCATAGTTTGTAAACAAAGATATATTCTATTTTCAATAAAGTTATTATTGATGTTTATTCAGTAAAAATTGTTATTGAATAAAGTGAACTTTACGATCATTAATCTAAATCCAATAAACTAAGAACACTCTGGCTATAGTATGATTACTTGAACTATATGTAGAGACATAAGAGTGGATAAAGTTCAAGTATATAGTCAAAATGATCTATAGTATAAGAATAAGGCTGAGTACTTTATTCTGGGGACACTATGGATGCGGCCCACTTTTGTATATGATATAAACAATGTGATCACTAAATTGTGCATGTGGAAACATGTGAGTGGGGGCGTCCTATGCAATGAGTATTGCATAAGATCGGACCATGAAGAAAACCACTCTCACTTTATAAAGTCGTTTACTGTTGAGACTGATTTTCTTTTCATTCGATAACCTAGGTAACTCGGTTTTAATCCTGGGCTAACCATGAACTCCTGTTTATTCGGAATTATCCTTAGATTTGCATGGGTGAGAGTGGCTCTAGTTCGCCCACTCAACTGGCCTCCCATTTCAGGGGTAAGACTGGGTGAATGGCTAGGGACGTGGGGTGCAAGACAGAATTCACTCCTACCCACTTTTAGGGATAGAAGAAAGGTAGTTCCCTTAAGCACTGACTCCAAGTCTTGAACAAGGGGCCCCACTCTCTCATTGGCCTGAGAGGAATTCGGTTTACTGGTTGGACCACAAACCAATTGTTCATTAGAGGATCAGTGAGACATAAGGAACAAGAAGTAACTTCAGGGGTAAAACGGTAAATTGACCCAGCTCTAGTTACGAACAACCTGTGAAGGATCGACTTACTAATCATGGTTATATCAGATGGACAGAAATATATCTATAGTGAGGGGAGTGTAACTACTAGGCTATAGTGGAGTGTCCTAGTAGTTAATGAATGTTGGTTAACCAGGTTAATGAGTTTAATCGGTTAATCTTGGATCGTTGGAGACCATGATCTATAGGTCCATTAGGTCCCTCTGCTAGCTCATATCGGACTAAACCATAGAACAATGTGACGAGTGAGTTCGAAGTGTTCGAATTCAAATTAGGGAATATGCGTTACATATATACGATATATTTAACCGCAATTTTGTTTTATTTACGAATTAAACGAAAAGAGAGAATCTGAGATATTTAAATAAGATTTAAATATCTTAATCAATTATGTGTCGAAATTGATTGGGATTGGCATTTGAATTAATATTAAATATTAATTAAATAGTTTAATTAATCATTTAATGTTACTTTAATTTGAAATTCATTATTCAAATTAATTGTTGAATTAAAATGAAGAAAGTCAAAATGTTGACTTTCATCTAATGGAAAAATCCATGTTAGTGGAATTTTGAGGTGTCAAAATTTGGTTTAACCAAACTTGCATGTTTGCCAAATAAACCCCACAAGTTTGAGTGTCAAAATTTGGTTAACTCAAACATGCATGCTTGTCACATAATCCCAAACATTTGAGTGAAATTTTAAGTGTCAAAATTTGGTGATCTCAAGTTTGCATGAACATGCAAACTTGACTCTTTAAATAGAGCGATCATGATACTTGGAGGGGATTCTTCGTCTTGATGAAAAACCTTGAGAAAAACTTCTCACAAACACTCTCTTTCACATATACAAAATCCCTCCCAAGTTTAGTCACTCACCGGATTCCACAATCCCATTCTAAGGCCGGAGGATAGTGGAGAAGACACTAGTGGTGGTTCGAAACCGGTTCGTGAGGCAAAAGGAGTTTGAACTACAAAAAGTTAATATTTAAACTCATTAAGTTTTAATACTTATGAACATGCTAGTAATTTACAATAATTGATGTTCTAAAAGTGCCTAAGATCCAAATTGCTTCCGCATGTGTTATATTAACACCAACACTATTTTTTTTCTAAATTTTAGAAATCATTGAGTTAAATTTTAATTAATTAATTTAAAATTGTTATAATATGATTCTTCCAAAAATAATTTGATTATAATTAAGTCAATCATCTAAAAACTTACAACAAAGAATAAATGTGTAAAATCTTAAAATTAATAATTTATTAAAAATAAAATTTAAAATTCAATCGTAAAATTAAATACTTCGAAAAATCAAAATTAAAAAATATCATTTTATTATTTAAATTCTCTAATTTTGTTTACCAATTTCTCAAAAAATATCTGTCCCAAAATTTTTTAAATAATCATTTTGATTATTGTTATTATTTTGTTATTTGATATTTACATATGCAAATCTAGGTAGCTTAAACTTATAATTATCACATATTTGTTATTTATTTATTTATTTAAATTACATTGTTTTTTAAATCATCCAGAAAAATGGCAACACAACATTTAATAAAAATTTTAGAAATATATTTATTTTAAAATTAACTTTTGGCGGACAAAATTTAAGATTTACTAAAATAATATGACAAATTTAAAACGAAACGATGAAAATGATAGTTCCAATAATAATATTTTGACAAAATAAATAAATAAATAAATAAAAGGAGTGAAAAGGGAAAAGAACGGAGAATCAATAATTTACAAACGCCTTTCAGAGCAGAACTGCGCTTCTGGACTTTGGTTCGGTTGTTCAGAGCTCGGGCGGAGAAGGCGAGAGAACGAGCTAAGTTTGCTTCTGCATTCTTCAGAGCTCTGAATCTCCACCATTTTCTTTTCCTTCTCAGAGGGGGAAACCGTCTTGGCAATGGATTCCGTGTTCGTTAGAGCCTACCGAAGTCATGTTGGTATGCTGTTTGTTTTTCTTACAATCTTAGTGGTTTGAGACTGTTTCAGTTCAGTTCAATCTTAGTTTTCTCCGCCGGAAGTTCTGCATTTTGTTTTTAGCTTTTTTTTTTTTTCTTTCTCGTTGATTGGTGTGTTTTTGTTTTCGAGTGTGTTTTTCTTTTTTGATGCTTCGCTTTCATTTGCGCTTGAGGAGTTACTCGATGATGTTCTCGCGATTCTCATCCTATTCCTTGAATGAAGCTGATTTGAGTCTGGTTTTGTCTGATTCGCTGTTTCTGTTCAGTAGGTGCGATTGGAAGCGGCTGGACAAATCGTGACGTCAACAATGTTTGGCTTCCAAGTAAGACCAATTCGTCGTTTTTGAATCCTTATTTTCTTTGCACTATCGCTTCTGATTCTCGTCTTCTTTGGCATCTTTAATTCGTCAATCGCACACGCAGGATTCGTGTATTTTTGCTTGATTTTTAAAATTTCATGTTTGGTACTGCTATTGTCAAAAGACTGTTGTTGATTGTGCAAGTTTGGATGAATTGAACTAGCGGAAGAGATTATCCGGGCGGCGGGTTGCCATGTAAGCTTGGAGGGGGCTATTTGAGAGTAGATGAATTTTAAAATTAAACAATAATTTCAGTCGTATAGAAACATTTAATGTTTTTTAGCCAGATATTGGGTCGTAATTTTAGAAATTTAATTCGGGAACTACGATATAACATTACCTGCCAATAGCCTTTAAGTCTGAAGACAGCATAAACGCCGGTGTCGATTAAAACTCTGAAACTGCACTTTTACTTCACAGCAAAGTCATTTGAGAACTGAAATTGATACCCATTTTATTTTTTTAATTTATTTTTAAATTATGCTTGTTTTCTCACCATTTTTTAAGTAAGTTTTTCACATTCCCTTGAAAATACATTGAA